CAATTAATTTGTGTGACATATATTGTTGTTACTTATTACGTAACAATTACTCTGTATAACATATATTGTTATTACCTATAAGGTAACAACTTTCCTCTATGACATACACTGCTTGCTAATGGATGACATATAATGAATGCAGGGAAGGATATGTGGCTGGATGCTGTGAAGTTAATCAAATATTGTGAGAAAAGATATCTGTCATTATATGTTTTAACTGTGCAGTAAAAACCTTTAGAATTAATAATTGTGCACTGATTGACAGTTAATGTTTCTAAGGAGAAGGTAATGTCGCAGGGTTAGTAATTCTACCACCACCACCACCCCTATTTTGCACAAATGTGAGGGTGAATTTCCTTATAATTCCAAGAGTTTCTCTGATCAATTGAACTTGTCTGTTTATTTTAACAGGGATCCAAGAGTAACTCTAATGATCTGTTTTATTTTTTATTTTGTGTTTTGACTCATCCAGGTGTATCGATGTTTTAGTACAATTGTTTGGTTAGGTTGAATATATAATCAATCTTCGTGTTTATATGGTAGCGTTATACATATCATCTTGTGAATAATACTTGACAAGGGATGTCTTCAATATTACTTTGAACTTTTGACCTTTCTTTTTTGCGACATTCATCACGCGATTTTACTTATGAATAATGTTGAATCCCTGTTTTCGTAAAAAATATATAAACATATCTAAGTGTATCATAACGTATTTTTATATGAATAATGTTGAATTCCTGAATTTTGTATAGAGTATAAAATCAGGGATTCAACATTATTCATAAGAAAAATATGTTATCTTACACTTAGATATGTTTTATACTCTATACAAAATCAGGGATTCAACATTATTCATAAGAAAAATATGTTATCTTACACTTAGATATGTTTTATACTCTATACAAAATCAGGGATTCAACATTATTCATAAGAAAAATGTTATCGTACACTTAGATATGTTTTATATAGAGTATATATATATGAATAATGTTGAATCCCTGAATTTGTATAGAGTATAAAAACATATGTAAATGTAGCATAACATATTTTTCTTATGAATAATGTTGAATCCCTGATTTTGTATAGAGTGTAAAAACATATGTAAGTGTATCATAAGATATTTTTCTTATGAATAATGTTGAATCCATGATTTTGTAGAGAGTATAAAACATATTAATTACATCAATTATTTCTTTAGAGTAGATCAGTTTGTTATGAGAGTAAAAAGTAATTATGAACACTATTAATTTAATTAACTTAATTATACATAAGCGAATTGGTATCTCAATACAATCAATTCACGACAAAAAAGTAACTAAAATAAGATACAGCCTTATGTATATTTAATTTAAAACAATATGCTAGCATGAATTAAAGCAAATGACATGCATATGCATATACATAAACGTCATATATTATTCTATTTACTCTGGCCACACACGTGCAGACATATGCAACTAAGTGGTGCCACGTGACCTGGAAAGAATCATTAAATTTATTCAGTGGTTCAAGTAAACTGTACAAAATATTAAACTGGTATATCACGCTTGTTAATAAATGTAAACCACCATTCACAACTATGTACATAAGTTGAGTTGTTGAAATATAACGAGAAGATATATCATAGAATACAATTATATCATTTATAAAATAGGCAAAAACCACCATTCACAACTATGTACATAAGTTGAGTTGTTGAAATATAACGAGAAGATATATCATAGAATACAATTATATCATTTATAAAATAGGCAAAAACCACCATTCACAACTATGTACATAAGTTGAGTTGTTGAAATATAACGA